TATGCTCTAGATATGTAGGCCCATATGAGATTGTGAAGAGGATTGGACATGAGGCTTGTTAATTGGCCTTATTAGCTTATATGCAAGGAGTGCATAATGTATTCCATAATTCTTCACTTAGGAAGTATATTGCAGATGAGCCTCATATAATTATTGTAGATTTAGTGTAGATACAATATGAATTGACATGTATAGAAGAGCCTGAAAAGATATTGAATTATGATTTGAAGAACCTTCGTAATAGAGAAATTCTAATTTTAAAAACTATTTGGAGACATAGATCAAAAAATGAAGTTACTTGGGAGAAAATTTCAAATATTCAAGAAAGATATCCCCAACTCTTCAATTAAGGTATATTTACTTTTATTTCAATATTTTCAAATTTTGAGGGCAAAATTTTTATAAGGATGTGAGATAGTAATAACTGAAATTTTAAAAACAAAAATAATAATTAAAAAAATAAGTGGGATTGAATAATCGTCTCGAAATTTTCACTTAAGGAGGCTCACACAGACGAATTGAGATAGAGAGAAAGAGAGAGCACAACGATATCAAGAGTGGGAGATTGTGAAAAGGAAAAACTTTTTTGCGTGCACTAGCTGATAGGAAGAGAAGAAGGAAGAGGGAAGAAGAAGAAAGAGGAGCAAGGGAAGAAGTCACCACTTGCGTGCAAGGGAGGTTTCGATTCTTACGTGGCTGAAGGAGGAAACCTTAGCCAAGGGAAGAGGAAAAACCATGACATCAAGGAGGAGCCTCATATGCGACATCACTATCGTGTTAAATCTTAGCCAAAGGAAGGAGAGAGGAGATTGGCTCATCGTGCAGCGTTGAAGTGGAGCAGTGCTCAAAGGTAGGAGGAGGAGGCTCGCGTGCGTGCGGGTGGGGATCAAACTGAGTTGTAAGAAGGTGAGTTATTTGATTTTATATAAGTTTTAATTATATAAATTTAATTAATTAAACTATTGGGACTTTTGAAGGTTGACCTCTTTGATGGGAGACATGTGATGATACAATTATCTAAAGTGGAAGACTATGTCAAAATATTTTCCAAAAAGTTTATGAAAATAGATGGGAAATATATGAAACTGCTTAAGTGGTCTCCTGAATTTGACCCTAACCAAGAACCACCTATAGTTCCAATATGGTTTAAACTACCTGGCCTAAAGTTCGACTACTTCAATCACCAAGTCCTCTATTCTATGAAATTGGATACACCCACTTTAAATATAATCAGGCCTTTGGTTGCAAGAATTCTTGTTGAAAGGGATATCACACTCTCTGATGTGAACGAAATATGGCTTGGTACTGCCCACAATGGGTATTGGCAGTCAATTATTGCATAACAAAAAACATACTACTGCAATCATTGTAAATTGTCTGGGCACACCCCTGTCAAATGCTTCAGGCTTCACCCGCATTTGAGATCGGTAGGTCCTAACAACATCATCTATGTGAAGGAAAATATAATGTACACTGTTAATCTTCCAGAAATGTTGAATGAAAATCTGACTCATAAGGCTACTCCTCACCAACCAGATCAGCAGCTTTCGTCTACCGTTGTTGAGGCAGTTCTTCCTCAGATCACAAATACTATGAATTTTGTTATAGCATATGTCAGTCGCACTATCTTGGAACCACCTATTGTGAGAGAAGAGAGTACTCAAGTTCTCACAGAAGTTCTATAGGAGTGTCATGATCAAGGTGTGTTGCAAGCTGAGTAAAATCAGTAGTTTACGAATCAACATACCCCCCTGGGTGAGCTCTCCATCGAAGATCCACCTATTGTTCAAACGGGACTACCTCTGGCAGATGATTGACGGGTTTACAAATCTAGGAAGAAGAAAAATGAATGTTAAATCTCAGTAATTCTTAGGATGACTTCCTCATAGTTTCAGGCAGAAGCCCACATCTTAGTATGTTGCTGGACTCCCTACCTAGATGCAGGGGAAGGAGAAGCGGTAAATTCACCATGATTAGGAGTTTTTTTCTTTTTTTTTTATATATTTTTGGGGATTTTGTGTGGTTTATGTCTTTTTTGAGTAAGTTGTAATCCCTGTGAGTGGGTTCTTTGTACCCACTCACTAAAACATTTGTATCCTCTCTTTTATATCAATGAATTTTGTCTTTTCAAATATATATATATATGTGTGTGTGTGTGTGTGTGTGTGTGTGTGTGTGTGTGTGTGTGTGTGTGTGTTGTGTGATAGACTCAAAAAATTTAAAATATGCAGAAAACAAATAGCTAGGGACGAACCAGTTTAGTGCTACCACTTCCACTAGTTTTAGGTGCGGAGTCAGATAACAAACTTTGAAGTGTTGTGTCATTGCCAGGAGTAACCAAAGTATCATCTATTAAGTTTTCAAGTTTGAGTGTGTCAGCCTTCTTCTTTCGCCGAGAAGTGTAAACCTATCATGCTTCATCTGAAAACTTGCTCATGTGATCCTCGATCTGATTAGAACCACAGTAGAAGGAAAGATAGTCGTTGTCACAACGATATGCTCCAGTGTATGTGAAATGTGAATTATCACTTCTGCACTTGATGCTTCCTGAATAGGAGCTGCGAGGCTATCCTGACTTTTGGTCCAAACATTATCCCTTATAGTATGGACAGGAGAAGGGTTCCCAAGAGCAGACACCATTCCCTGTCTTGTGGTGATTCCCTTCTAAGGTTGGTTGTCATCAGGTTTGCTGGGAGGGCGTTCAAGCACGTGGGGTGTACTAACAGCATGTTCCTGCTTTTGACTATTGGTTCTCAACTATGGATGAAATCTGAAACATTTCTTTTGCGGGTGTCCAAATATCTTGCAGTGCCTGCAGTAGTAAGGTTTTTGTTCCATAATGATTTTTTGTCAATAACCATTGTGAGCAGAGCCAAGTCAGACTTCTTCTACATCTGGTAGTGTAATATCCATTTCAATCCAAATCCTTGCAATAGAGGACATTGAGAAATGAATTATAAATGTGTCTACCCGCAAAGGTTTTCCAAGGATAGTCTCAATTGCATATAAGATAGGTAGGTCACAGAATTGAAGCTTGAGTTCAAGTAATGAGAACCAGATAGGGGCAAATGAGGGTTTTTAACTAACTGAGATCAAAATCAGGGGTCCATTTGAGCAATTTCATATGATTGCCCTCGATTGTGATGATTTTTTTTTGAAAAAATCCTTGTGTAATTTTATTTTATGCTCAGTTGCATCATAACATATCTTCCATTGAAAAGACACACCTGCCATACCCCAACTAGTTTGAAATCTTCAAAAACCTTTCTGATAATCTTTATCTTAGGGAGACCTAATTAGAACTTTCAAACTAGTAAAAATTTATATTTTTCTGCACGGGTTGAAATTTCAGCGTCAGAGAAGAAAAGTGCTGGTTTGCCCGCCTTTTTCTCAACTTTTTTTTGATGAGATTGCAATCTCCATGTTCTGCAACAGAATCATGATACAACTACGGGAACATTGGACTATCCACAAGTTGGAAAGAGGAGCTGCATTTCTGAACCACTGTAGCATATGAGATTGCAATCTCCATGTTCTGCAACAAAATCATGATACAATTGCGGGAACATTGGACTATCCACAAGGTGGAAAGAGGAGCTGCATTTCTGAACCACTGTAGCATTGGAAGATTTGGCGGGATTATCACTGGCGAGTGCGGCGGTGTAGGAAAACCCTAAGGCCATTAGCGTGAAGCACAGCAGAATGTCGCAGCTTGCCGACAGCCGCCAACGAACGGGATGCGAGATGAAGCAAACGTGAAAATGTCGTCTGTCTTCGAGCATGACAAACGGGACGCGAAACGAAGCAGACGTGAAAATGCTATCCGTCTTCGAGCACGACGAATGGGATGCGAGACAAAGCAAACGTGAAAATGTTGTCCGTCTTCAAGCACGACGAACGGGACACGAGACGAAGCAGACGCGAAACTGTCGTCCGTTTTCGAGCAACGAGACGAGACGAAGCAGACAATGAATCGCTGCGACCAGACGCAATCGCTGCGACAGACAGAGAAACCGCTGCGACCAGACAAAGTAGACGGCGAAAGCGTAGCAGACGCTAGGGTTCGCCATAAGGCGAAACCCTAGCAGAGCAGAAAGACGACCCATCCGCTTGATATATATATATATATATATATGCTCACACGCATGTGGTGAATAAATCTGCAAACCATTTAATCTAGAGCACTGTTCAGCTCTTATGGCTTTTATGGACCAACTATTATGCTTTCTTATGGCTGGATTCTTTTTGTTATAATGTTTCTTTTAAGTTGTTCTAATCTACCTTCTGGCTGGGAGGTAACTACCTTGTCATGATTAAAAGAAGGTTCACCATCAACGCTTAAGGCTTACTAAACTTATCAATATGGCAACTTTACACTCGGATATTCTCCAAATTATAGCCTGATTGGAGCAGTTGCGCCTTTTATAAAGACAAATGTAAATCTGTTATGAGGAACTCATCTTTTATAAAATGTGCTGTGTATCATAATTTTTTTTTTCTAAAGAAATTGAAAAGCATTTTTACAACTACTGCATTCTAACATGATTGTAAATAATTGTTTTCCACAAAAATTTCTAAGAAGTGAAAAGTAGTAACTAAACAGATTTGCAGCAACAATTGAAAAGGTAAAACAGCAAAAAAGTTTCCCAAAGCAGACAATTAGTTAACTAACAATGACTTCGGCTAGTAAAAAGGGCCTTTTAAATATGATAGTTAATAGTCATGGTGGTCTGAAGCAGCTTCACCCTTGGGGAAAGAGGCTATTAATAAACAAACAATGTTTCTTCTAGCTAAGATTTTCCCCATGGCTCCTTCTCCACAAAACAAAAAAGAAAGCAGTTCAAAATTTTGCGATGTGTTCTAGTGAAATATATATTCCTCTTTTATGAAATAGTAGAAATCAGCAAGATACGAGCGCTTAAGCCAAACCAACTATAGAAGATAATAACTATGAGAGTAGCGCCGTTCATCTACTTCCAGACAAAAATGACAAGACTTACTTTGTTTAATAGGTCTTCTATCTTAGCAGCATAGTAGTCGATAGCATCCACAGACGTTCCCCATAAACCCCAGAATCCAGTCTGCAATATTTTAGAAGATCATATACTTACGTTGATAAAGACTAAAGGAAGTTTAAAAAATGTCATCAGAGGCTATAACGAACCTTGGTTTTTGGCCTTGATGCAGATTTTCTTCTGTATTTATTTTCATAATAATCAAGCCAGTTTTGTAAACTTCTCCTCTTATCAACTATTCTTGAGAGGTTGTTTGCATTATACACAACCTGTAGTTAGTTAAGAACACGATTGAAATTTAGCTCCAATTTATTTTAAAAGAGAATAAGAAAATTCACACAGGGGAACCTATGATCTTAAAAATAGAGCAAGCCGAACATTACTTCACAAGAAAAAATGAACAGAAATGAAAATCCGTTTGATACTTCACGGTCATTCAGCAATGGAGATTGGCTATTCTTAAAGAGTAACATTTTTTTGAGGAGGTAGGTTCCACTAAGGGCCTGTTTGGGGCAACTGTAACGTATCCAACTTATCCAACTTATTCAGATAAGCAGCTTATCCCGATAATCTGCTGATTCGGATAAGCTGGTTGGCTGTTTCATTTTTGTGTTTGGAAAACAGTTAATTTGCAATTGTTTTATGGATAAATGACTATTCTGCCCCTGATCCGAATAATGCTACTTTCGATTGAATATAAGAGCCAAATCATCGAATTTGGAGAATAAGGAAACAAATTCAAATTAAAATAAATGGCCTGAAACCAACTTCCACAGTAAAGAATAAGTAGAGAGATAATATTGTATAATATAACATGATAGTAAAGAGGAAAGTACTATAAAAGCAAGGCCATCAAATTTATCAAAAAAAAGTACAGTGACTATGATATAGAAAAATTCACAAAGATTGATTCATAACCCAAAGAGCTAAAGTAATGGTTAATGATGACGTTAAAGTTGACAGTAATCTCAAAAATATTGGACGAACAAAGATGATAGCCCTTTCGAGCATTTAAGTAATACAAAGTATATTCCAAATATGCATAACCATACTACTTTCTAAATTACTATCCAAAGTTGTCCTTAAAATTTCAACTCCATTTAAAAAAATTATATTGATGAGAGCTAATGAATCAATTTATTGAAACATGTTAAATAGTTCGAGTAAATGGGCTGAAACTATTTCATTTAAAAAAAAGTTGGCCATTATGAATGTTAGTATAAAGTTAACCATTATAAAGCTCATTTCCTGCTGTGGTTATCTTCATGATAAGAAAATTGCAATTCTCACATAGGGTTTCTGTTGAGGATTTTTTTTCTTCTGATGCATTTAATTTAAATAAAAATGGATGTGAAAGGCAAGCTCTGTGGGAAACAAGCCTTTAATTTAAGAAGCTTAGTATATGAAATGAGTAAACAGGGGAGGGAAAAAGCTCAAGACAAGAAGAAAATCCACAAATAAAGGCAAGAATACTTAATTGAACATTCTTAGAGATCATTCTAGTAAATAAGCACTCTCTAATAATATGAAATCCAGTACCCTAACCAAATAGTAAAGGGAAATTTACATATATACCATTCAATTGTTGATGGGCTTCTCTGTCACCACCGCCTTCCAAAGAAGCAATTCCACGAGCAAGGGGGTCACCTTCTTGAAGCCACCAAGGTGCGAGTGGGCAAAGGCCTTGGATTTGTCCTCAAATTGCGTCAATGTATAAATTTCCTTTACGTTTGCTGCAGTGCAAGAAATGGGTGGGAGGAAGGGAGAGAAAGACGAGGGTTACGGGTAGGAGTGGAGTGAAAAAGAAGATATAAGAGAGTTTCTGAGATCGTTGTAAGCCGCAATACCATAGTTGCCTTCCCAGCTAGCTCCAATTGCGGCTGCAGGGTTTCAGACTCAAAAGGAGGGTGAAGGGGAAGGTAGGTGATGGCTTCGGGTGAAACCTGAGAGGAGGAGAGAGAGATCGAGCGAGAGAGGAGACGAACAACTTCAAAGGGCACAGGAGGAATAACGGTCGAAACACGGGCCGCGGGGTCGATCCCGCGGCCCCGTTTATTAAGGAATGAAAAACGGCATTTTTGAATAAGTTTCTCCAACACACAAAACAAATGACGGGGCAGCGTTCTCAAAACGCCGCCCGCACTTATAAGCTGCCCCAAACACACCCTAAATCGTGGCTTCATGACCGTGTCATGGAAGTCAAACTACTTAATTGTGGCCTCATGACAATGTCATGGAAGTGAAACTAATTAGAGAATGCTGTAGGGTAGAAATGACCAGATCTCCAAAGTCAGAGAACAATGAAATAGTCATTTGAGTAGTTTTCATGGCATATGGTTGTCAATTGATACACTTAGGTGATGGGTTTCGTGACATGATGAAATGATCCATTTAGGTGTTATACTAGCTGACAAATTGCGATACAAAAAGAATTTGTATGATGCAAGACGTCTTAAGATCTAGGTTTAATAATGCAACTTAGGAATGAGCAGCACGTTAATGAAAATATATAAAAAAAATCACAAAATAGATGGCAACTTACCAACTCTTTACTTTAAAAAGAGTTGGTCATTGTTAATGTAAAAATAGCAAAGATGTTTCTGTCATTCCAAAGAATAATTTAATAGTGTCCAAAATTTGCAGCTTCACAAGAAAATAATAAAAATATATAAAATTTAATAATGCTCGAACACCACATTACGAAAAGAAAAAAATCTAGTATGCATAATACTTGACAAGTTTTCAACTGAACAAAACTGATCGCCAAACAAATTAATAGAAAGAACAAAATGAAAAAAAACCCAAAGGAAGATTTAGGCTTTTGGCCAGTGCAAGAAGACTTACCTTCAATATTAGTCGTTAAGACTTGCAAAATGCTCAAAAAATATATATCGAACTAGTACGTAGATAATGATTAATGAAAATTAGGATTTTATTTTAAATTTCAACAATCAATAACTTTTACACATTTCAATGGTTCTAGTTATAGCTCACAAAAAATCCTAATAAGACATTTCTCATAATACTCTAATCTCCACTCAAAAACTAGAACTTTCATTTCTCCTTGCACATAAGCAATAAGAGTCAAGTTAATGCCTCAGAATTTCCACGCATTTATATCCATAAAAACGAAGCTAGATGTGACAAGGCATTGTATGAAACAATGAGATGCAATAAATTAGTCGCAATGAGGAAATAATAAGAGGTCTGGGATTACAATAAATCAAGGCTTCTCCAAGGAATTCGAGACTAAGGCGCGTTTGGGGTAGCCTTTTTGCTGCGGCAAGTTTTGAAAACACTAAAATCGTTGTTTGAAAATCATGGTGCGCAGCTTATCCTAATAATTTCTTTCAAACCCACATCGCGAGTTTTTTCACATGGCTATTACTTCGCTGCCCTGGGTGATTCCTCTCGCGCCTCTCCTCTACCCCACTCCTCTCGTGCATCTCTGCCCTAGGTTACTCCTCACCCTCTCTCGTGGTGGGAAAATGGCTGCCCCGCTCCTCTTTCTCCTCTCTGGCGTCTCTGCCCAGGCTAATTCCTCTCCTCTGCCCTACTCCCCTTTCCTCTCTGGCGTCTTTCCCTTAGTAATTTCTCCTCCTCTTTAGCGATGGGAAAATGGCTTCATTGCCTTCTTCGTTGGTTCCCCTTGTTCTTCGTTGTCCTCTGGTAATTTCTACCCTCTCTTTTGCCATTATGCACTTCGGTTTTTGTCGTTTGTGGTTTTAAGCCGTGTGTAAATTTCTCTTGTCGGGTTGTAGCTATGCTCTATAGAAAAATAACGAGTTTGTGCTTTCAGAAAGGGGTAATGCCCAATTGCATTTATTTTTTTTGTGAAATTTGAATCTCTGTGGTCTTTGTGGTTTGGCCCTTTAGTTTTTAAGATTTTGGCCCTTTTCTCTTTGTGGTTTCTGGTGATGATGTCTGTGGTTTGTGTCTTTCTTCAATGGAGAAATTGAAGTATTCATTATAGTGCATTGATTCAGGCTTGCTTTTTGAGATTTGTGGTTTTTCTGTGACATTTGGAGGTTGTCGGCAATGGTATGTTGGTGGCTATTAGTGTTTTGCGGTCATTGTCTATGTGGATGGCTATTAGTTTGTGGCTTTTTTGTATATGATGGGTTGTTATTGGTATTTTACAGCTATTGACTATGATGGTTTGCTATTGGTGGTTGGTGGTGTTTTATTTGGTGGTGTATTGCTCCTAATGATATTTTGGTGATGGCGGTGGTGGCGTTGGCGGCGGTGGTGGCGATGGTGGCGTTGGCGGCGGTGGTGGCGGTGGTGTGTTGGTGTTAATGATATGGGTTGGTGATGTGTTGGTGTTGATGATATGGTGGTGGTGGTAGTGTTGGCGTTAGTGTATTGGTTGTGATGATGTTGTGGTAGGGTCTATCGGTGTTGATGATGTGGTGGTGGTGTTGGTGTTTAGTGTATTGGTTGTGATGATATTGTGGTAGGGTCTGTCGGTGTTGATGATGTGGTGGTGGTGGTAGCGTTGGCGTTTAGTGTATTGATTGTGATAATGTTGTGGTAGGGTCTGTCGGTGTTGAAGATGTGTTTAAGGTTGGTTGTGATGGCGTGGTGGGAGTGGTTTGTTGATGTTGATGATATGATGGTAGTAATAATGTTTGTGTTTAGTATGTTGGTTGTGATAATGTTGTGGCTGTGGTCTATCAGTGTTAATGATGTGGCAGTGGCGGCGGTGGTGGTATGTTTGTTGTGTTGGTGTGTTGATGGTAGTTTGTTGGTTGTGACGATGGGGTGGTAGTGGTATATTTGTGATGATGATGTGGTTTTGTATAGATGGTTAATGTTTGGGAGTGGTGATGGTGGTGGCAGTGATGGTGTTCCAGATGTTTCTTTTGTGTTACCTTTCCAAGTTGTGGAATTTTTAGAGAGGCTTCATGTTTTCATGAGAAAACCTTATATTCTCTGCCACACATTTATGTCGCACAATTTTTTTCATGTTAGTGGTTGTCATGGTTAGATAAAAGAAATTGGTTTGTCTATCATGTGAGATAAAGAAATGAAGCTAATTTAAAGTGGTGGAATTGAAAAACAGACCAATAACCTATTTTAACAAAGAATGATGTTAGAATATAATAAAAAAGATCAAGGACAACACAGGAAGGGAATATGATATAATGCAATTGAAAAAAAAGTGGGATCAGTAAAAAAATGACTAGAAAATACGAATAGAGTTAAAGCGAGGATCCACAGAGTTGGGTTGAGATCCAGCAAAGTGAACCATTGATGCTTCAGAAAA